GTGGGCGGGGCCTGAAAGAAGGAGGAGCTCCAGGCGGTGGGCGGGTCAGGGCCGGCCGGTCTAGAGCGAAGGAGGCTTAACAGTTGTTCGGGCTGATGTCTCATGCAAGTGTGCACATTCAGTGCAAAGTTAAGACTCTGAACACTTTACAGTTCATTACCTGCAAAGTCCAGAACGCCACTGCTCAGAACAAGAGAAAGCAAAACACCCATGTCTGGCAATGTGTTTCTAGAATGCAGATACACATCATTTTTTGTTTACTGATTCGGATTTTTTGCTCTCAGCATTATGTACTGCAGTCCCAAACCAGGGCTTTATGCTTGCTAGGCACCACTGGCCTAAATGCCCATCCCCAAAATCATACTTTTAAAGTCTTCTATGGCAGTGTACTCTAGCTGCTAATGATGACAAGACTGATGTTAATCTGTGCTAATTGTGGGTTTACTATGGGTTCACATATATGTATGTATGTATTCCTGTTTTACTGGAAGTAGTAGGGACTGAACCAGAATTTCATACGTGCAGAACACTTTACCGATCGGCCCTAGGACCACTTTGAAAATAGAAGACCGAGGTTTAAAATCACCCCAAAACTTGCTAAAAGTTACAAACAACTGGCAAGGGGGAAAGGAGAATAGTGCTGATCAGATTTCATTGTATTCATGTATGAAATTCACGAAGTATAAAAGTTTAAAATGCTGTGATGTGGAAGAAGGATCGTGTTCTAGACAATGCTCTAGAATGGATACAGAGGGAAAGAATGAGCTTCGAGGTAGACCCTTTGGTAGAGGCTGCTGGGAAGAAAGCTGCCTGTCTTAGTCTAGGTTACTATTGCAATGATGAAACACCACAGCCAAAAGCAACCTGGGGAGGAAAGGGTTTATTTGACTCACTGGAGGAAGTCAAGACAGGAACTCAGACAGGACAGGATCTTGGAGGCAGGAGCTGATGCGGAGGACATGGAGGAGTGTTTCTTCCGCTGCCTTGCTGCTTTCTCAGAGAACCCAGGACCACCAGCCCAGGGATGGCACCACTCACAATAGGCTGGGCTCTCCCATCCACATCAATCACTAAGTTAGAAAATGCCCTGTAGGCCTCCCTACAGCCCGATCTTATAGAGACATTTCCGCAATTGAGGCTCCTTCCTCTTAGATGACTCTAGCTATGTCAAGTTGGCATAAAACTATCCAGGACACTGCCTTTAATTGAAGGAGAAATATGAAAATGTTCATACAGAGAGATAGCTTTCATTATTCAGAACCAGAAATAGGCAAAGGAAGAAGCAGATAAGAACATTAACGACATGGATTAGTCTCCTACTGGCAATCAATAACGGTCTTTCAAAAGCTGTGGTATGACAAAGAAATGTTTCCACAGGCTCATGGCATTTGAACATGCCGCTGCCATGCCCTGCTCCCAAAGCTAGTGTTGCAGTTTTGTAAGGCTGTGAACCCATGAGTTGATATGGGATTCCCTCTGTATGCTGTGAATACCATTGGCTAATAAAGGAACTGTCTTGGGCCTGCCTGGGCAGAATAGAGGTAGGTGGGGAAAACTAAACTGAATGCTGGGAGAAAGAAGGAGGAGTCAGGAGAAGCCATGTAGCCCCGCCAGAGACAGATGCCGGGACAGAACCTTGCACCAGTAGGCCATGAACCTCATGGTAAAATATAAAATAATAGAAATGGGTTAATTTAATATGTAAGAGCTTGCTAGGAATATGCTATAGTGATTAGCCAAGCAGTGATTTAATTAATACAGTTTCTGTGTGGTTATTTCAGGAGTCTGGGCAGCCAGGAAATGAACAATCAGTCTTCTACTACAATGAGCTATGGAAACTTGTAGGAAGTGGAGCACTGGGGGTGGGCCTTGAGATTGTACAGTCCAACCCCACTGCCTGCCTTCTCCCTGCTTCCTTTTCCTTCAAGATGTGAAGTGTGGAGTGCCACTGCACATGCAGCCACCATCCTGTGCCTTTGCCATGTCCTCCCCTCCAAGATACACTGCAGCCCTTCAAACTATAAGACAAAATAACCCTTTCCTTCCTTAAATTGCTTCCTGTCACATACTGGTCACAGCAAGGAGTGAAGTACAGACTCTGCATATTGAATTTCACTAAAACTCAACACATTAATTTACCAAAATGCTCTGAAAACCATTGACCCAAACCACATCATTTAAAAGAACTGGAAAATGAAGAAGAATCCAAAAGAATCTTCCAAGTGTTCAAAGTGTGACATTATGCCTACACATGTCCAAATGCTGAATCAGCTCTGTCTTAATGACCTTCCTATTGCTGTGAAGAGACACCATGACCAAGACGGCTAATAAAAGGAAACATTTAATAGGAATATTGCGTGCAGTTTCAGAAGGTGACTCCATGGCTGTCATGGCTGGAAGCAGACCGGCATGGCCCTGGAGCAGTAGATGTGAACTTACACCCTGATTGGAGTCAGAGAGAGGGGGACTGGGGCTTTTGAAACCTCCAAGTTCACCCCACTTCTGTTATACACCCTCTAATGAAGCCACACCTTCTAACCCTTCCCAAACAAACTAGGGACCAAGCATTCAAATCTATGAGTCTATAGGGGTCATTCTCATCCAGACCACCACAGTCTCTGTGGTGGATAAGATCCCCTGATTACCACACAAGAATGCATTGGTGTGCTATCACATTCTTGGGTGAAGTAGCAACAAATTTTATTATTTCAGAGATAACACATCTTTTTAACGGATGTTTCCAAAGCTGTGTGTGGTGCTGGCAGCTTAAGCAAAAGAGCAAAGATTAACACTGCCATGCTCAGTTTGGCGTGGAATCTGTACAACTATGAAAATGTAAAATTTTGAGAACGTATTTAATTCTATGATTAAGATTTAAAGCAAATAATAAGACACATTTGAAGTTTTGCTTGTTTTTTTTTTCTCTGCCAAAAATTTTAAGTCTGACTAAACAGAAGAAGTAAATAAAACACATGTTTTTGCTAACAGATAAACCAAAGTGTCAGCCTGCTTGAAAGTGAATACCATTGATAAACAGAATTTGGATATCAAATTTCATAGATTCTTTATTCTACGTGGCCAAGACCATCGTTTTAAGAGATACTGGACACAGAGGAAAATATTACTAGAAACCATTTTTCACACATCATATCCTACTTATTTTTTGCTCACATAATTT